TGATTGATCATTACCCAGACATGAACCTAATGGCTACAAATGAGCTAGGCGAGACTGCCCTTCATTGTGCTGTACATGTATGTCATGTACATGTAGATATTGTAAAATACCTGCTCATTAATTGCAACTGTGATCCCATGACTGCTGACACAGATGGTTGGATACCGCTTCATTTTGCTGCTGATTTGGGCCAATTCACAACTGTAGAATATTTACTATCGACTGATAAAGGTAATCCATTGGCTGAAGATAATGAAGGGAGAACTCCCATAAGCTTAGCCCTTTCCAAATCCATTGAGCACCCCAATATGGTCTCTGTCTTCAAAAAGTTTTACAAAATGAAGATATCTCACCCAATTGATTCTTATGTTAACATTCTTCTTCTTGGAAATTCGGGAGCTGGTAAAAGTACTCTTGGTCATGTCATCACAAATACATCTACAGGCTCTGTTGTTCTTGGCTCTTTTAGGAATGTCAAAGAAGTAGAACCTTGCACTGTGGGCATCATTCCAACTGAACTACAGCATAAAACACTGGGTAACATCATTCTTCATGATTTTGCTGGTCACTCAGAATACTATTCAAGCCATGGTGCTATTATTGAGAACTTGTTTGGTTTTGGTGGCATATTTGTTGTCGTAATTAACATGCTTGAGAAGGAAGCAATCAAACAGCTTCGTTATTGGCAAACTATTGCAAAAAATGAAGAAGAAAAGGCTCGTGATCAGCCTCATGACATTATAGTAGTTGTCAGTCATGTGGATAAAATAAGTGGCCATACTGAAAGGAGGAGGGGAATAGAAAAGGCTATTGGAAGCGAACCGTTATATTTCTTGGATTGTCGTAAGCTTGGAGGCACTAGTATGGGTTCATTTTTAAATAAATTGTCCAGTGCCTGTGAACATATTCGTACCACAAGAGAAATCAAATTAAATTCACATTATCATGAAATGTACCACCTACTTGAAGATATGTCAGAGAACATCCTGACCCTGTCTACGTTCAGTTATTCTATTCTCTTTAATAGTAATGCGATCTCCAATGTCAGTCACTTTCTCTTCAATTTCAACCAATCTTCTTTCATGAAAAGCTTGAGATGTTTTTGAGAACTTCTTTTGTTCTATTGGCTGATAACTGCTCCTTTTTGAGCGAGACTTGCCCTTTTAAAGTAATAATAAGTAAAACTGTTGGGAGAGGATACAAATGGTGGAGAGCCATGAACGAGTCCTGAATGTGACGATTCTTCTCTGCAAGTATTGGATAGCGACTGGCAGATATAAATACGACATGAGGTGCTCATACAATACAACCAGTGAATGTACAGATAAAGAATGAGCTCTTGCATGCCTCAACTATCTATAAAAGAGCCAACCTATAGTTTTAAGAAGTGAAAAGGTGGTCATAATCATCCACACTCCAGCTGCAACATGACAACTG